GGATGTCCCCCAGGGTCCCCCAGGGTCCCCACCTGTCCCCAAGGGTCCCTGAGTGTCCTCAGGGGTCCCTGCCTGTCCCCAAGGATCCCCGAGTGTCCCTGAGTGTCCCCAGGGGTCCCTAGTGTTCCCCCAGGGGTCCCCATCCCAGTGCTCCCAGTGCCCCCCCACCTCCTTCCTCGGCCATAGTGGGCCCTGACGCCACCTCGGTTTGTCCCTAAATGTCCTCAAGTGTCCCCAGTGCTCCCCTGGTATCCCTGAGTGTCCCCAAGGGTTGCCAGGGGTCCCCCCAGTGTCCCCATCTCAGTGCTCCCAGTGACCCCCACCTCCCTCTTTGGCTGTAGTGAGCCCTGATGCCACCTTGGTAGGTCCCCAGGTGTCCCCGAGTGACCCCAAATGTCCCCAAGGGTCCCTGAGTTTCCCCACGGGTCCCCATGGGTCCCCATCCCAGTGCTCCCAGTGACCCCCGACCTCCCTCCCCAGCCGTAGTGAGCCCCGATACCACCTTGGTACGTCCCCACCTGTCCCCAAGTGTCCCCAAGGGTCCCCAAGTGTTCCTGTGGGTCCCTGGTGCTCCCCCCAGTGTCCCCATCCCAGTGCTCCCAGTGCCTCCCCTCCTGTCCCCCCCCAGCTATGGTGGACCCTGATGCCACCTTGGTATTTCCCCCAGTGTCCCCTGGTGTCCTCCAGTGCTCTCCCAGTCCTCCCAGCACCCCCAGTGCCCTGGCCCTGAGTGTCCCTGTGGTGTCCCTGTCCTGTGGGTGCCCCATATCCTGGTGTCCCCACGGCTTGGGTGGCCTTGTTCCTTGGGTGTCCCCTCCATGTCCCCACAGTGTCCCCATCCCATGGTGTCCCCATGATGTCTCAAGGATGTCCTGTCCCGTGATGTCCCTGTGGTGTCCCCAGGGTGTCTCCATCCCATGGGTGCCCCATCCCGTGGTGTCCCCAGGGTGTCCTCAAGGTGTCCCCAGGGTGTCCCCATCCCCCAGAGTGTCCCCGCAGTGGCACCCACTGATGGGGCCGTGTCCCTGCAGAGATCCCCTCGGTGACTCCGCGCTTGGCCACCCGCAACCAGACGTCCTTCCGTGTGACCTGGCCCCGCCCCCCCATGCCGGTGGACGGCTACCAGGTGGCCCTCATCCCCCTGGTGAGCTGGGGATGGGGACAGGGGTGGGGACAGGTCCCCAGTGCCATGGTGACCCCAGTGTGGGGGTCCTGATATGGCCCCAACATGGCCTTCATCCCCAGGATGAGGTGGCATCCGTGGCCACCTGCTGCTGCCCCACTGGGGGACACCATAAGGGTGTCCCTGTGGTGTCCCCAACATGTCCCCAGTGTGCCTGTTGTCCCCAGAGCAAGCCAGTGGTCAGGCCACCTCCTGCTGCCTAACTCGGGGATGGGGACATCTCCCCAGTGTGTCCCTTGTCCCCAGGATGAGCCGTGGTGGTGTCACCCATCTGCTGCCTGGCTTAGGGACGTGTCCCCCCATGGTGTCCCCAATGCGTCCCTTGTCCCCAGGATGAGCCAGCAGCTGTGGCCACCCTCCTGCTACCTAGCCTGGGGGCAGGGCTGTGTCCCCAGCATGGTTTCCCCAGTGTCCCCAACATGTCCCCTGTCCCCAGGATGAGCCACCTGCCTGCTGCCACCTGCCTGCTGCCACCTGCCTGCAGCCTTGCTGTAGGGACCAGGACGTGTCCCCACCGTGATGTCCCCAATATGTCCCTAGTGTGTCCCCAACATGTCCCCCAGCCCCAGGACAAGCCATTGGCTGCAGCCACCTGCCTCCTGCCTGGCTCAGGGATGAGGAGGTGTCCTCACCACACTGTCCCCAGCGTGTCCCTCCTTAGCTGTCCCCAACGCGTCCTCAGTGTGTCCCCGTGTCCCCCAGCCCTGAGAGAAGCTCTTGGCTCTGGCCACCTGCCTGCTGCCTGACTCAGGGCCAGGTGCCACCGTGGTGTCCCCAGCGTGTCCTTGGCATATGTCCCTTGTCCCCAGGATGAGCCAGCAGCAATGACCACCCATGAGCTACCCGGCTCCGCTGTCACCTTCGAGGTGACAGGGCTGGCACCCGGCCACACCTTCGAGCTCTTCATCCAGGCCCAGCGAGAGCAGCACCTCGGGGCGCCCGGCACCCTGCGCGTCCGCACCCGTACGTGTCACCCGCTCAGCATGGGGACTGCGAGGGGACGGGCACGGGGTCATCGTGGGGATGGCAATGGGTGTGGGCACGGGGACAGGGGTGGGGATGGCACACGGATGGGGTAGGGGACGGTGATGGCATGGTCATGGGTGCGGGGACAGGGATGGGGACAGCATGGACAGCATGGGGACACGGACGGGGATGGGGACAGTGATGGCATAGTGTCACAGGCAAGGGGACAGGGCTGTCATGCGGACAGGGATGGGGACAGCATGGACAGCATGGGGACAGGGATGATGCAAGCATGGGGATGAGGACAGCACGGACATGGGGACAGGGACGGGATGGTGACAAGCATGGGGATGGCACAGGGATGGGGATGGCACGGCCACAGGGATGGGGACAGGGACTCGCATGGGGACAGGGACTGGGATGGGCATTGGGACAGGGATGGTGCCTGCAGCCTCTGTCTGTCCCCACATGTCCGAGTGTCCCCATGGCTCTGCAGGTCCACATGCATCTGTCTGTCCTGGTGGGTCTGTGTGTCACCAGTCTGTCCCTATGGGTCCGTGTGTCCCCTTGGGCCCGTCTATCTGCGTCTGTCACCGTGTGTCCCCACGGGTCCGTGTGTCCCCATGGGCTCATGTGTCCCCATGGGTCTGTGTGTCCCCATGGGTCCGTGTGTCTCCATGGGCTCATGTGTCCCTATGGACTCATGTGTCGCCATGGGTCCGTCTGTCCCCATGGCTCCACATGTCCCCACATCTCCTGATGCTTCCCCATGCGTCCCTCTGTTGCCTGGGTCTGGATGTCCCCAGTCTGTCCCCGACAGTCCACCTGTCCCAGTCTGTTCCCATGAGTCTGGGTGTCCCCAGTCTATCCCCATGGGTGTCTGTCCCTATGCGTCCGTCTGTCCCTGTCCCTTCCTGTGTCCATCCATCCCCGTGTCCCCCCTGTGGGTCCCTGGGCTCTGGCAGACGGGGAGTTTTGGGGACAGGTTGATGACCCTGGTCCCCTTTGCTCTCGCAGCGCTTGCCCAGACTCTGCCCACCCACGGGGGGTCCCCAGGGTCCCCTCAGGGTTCCCTGGGGTCCCCGGCATCACCAGTGGCCCCAGCGTCACCATCAACCCGAGGGTCTCCGGCATCCCCAAGGTCCCCAGTGTCACCAGCATCCCCGGGGTCACCAGGGTCCCTGGGATCACCGGCATCACCAGTGTCACCGGATGCATCCTTGGGGTCACCAGGGTCTTTGGGGTCACCAGCATCCCCAGCATCTCCAAGGTTTCCAGTGTCCCCAGTATCTCGAGGGTCCCCAGGGTCCCCAGCATCCCCGAGGTCCCCAGTGTCACCAGAGCCTCCGGCATCCCCAGAATCCCCGGGGTCACCAGTGTCCCCAAGGTCCCCAGAGGCACCAGCATCCCCAGCGTCCCCAAGGTCACCTGCACCTCCACAGTCCCCAGCATCACCACAGTCCCCTGTATCACCTCCGTCTCCATGGTCCCCAGTGTCCCCAGCATCCCCACTGTCCCCCGTGCTCCCGGGTGGCCCATCCCTGCATGACCTGGGGGCCAAACTCTCCTCCTACAATGGCTCCTTGCTGCAGCGCCTGGAGAGCCACCTCCGGGCTACAAACTTTCCCCTCCGGGGCAACCAAACGGTGCCGGCGGTGGCCCGTGCCATCCTCTCTTACCTTCTGCGCCGCAGCCCAGCCCCATTGCGTCGCCAGCTCCTCCGCCAGATCCCCCACCCCAAGCCCCAGTTGATGCCGGGGGCCGCTGGCGAGGCTCTGGTGGACCTGGATGGGCTGCGGGGCCACGCGGAGACTGTGGTGATCCGTTACCGGCTCCTGGAAGAGCCGGAGGGGGCCGAGGGGGAGCTACAGGTGCCAGGGGACACGGCGGTTGCCCGGGTGCCAGGGCTGGTGCCGGGGGCCATGTACCGGGTGGAGGTGCACGGCGTGGTGCGGGGGCACGTCTCCAAGTCCTACACATTCCTGGTGACGGCAGGTGGGTGATGGGAATGGAGACAGGGACAACATTGCATGGGGACATCCCATAACCACCCACTCCTCTTTTGGGTGCAGGGGTAGGTGGCACCGATGAGCCCCCGCTGGACTGGGAGCACATGTATGAGATGGAGCTGACTGAGCCCCAAGGTGCTGTAGCCAAAGCAGGTACCATCAGACGGTGCAGGGCAGCACTGGGAGGGACCCAGGTGTTCAGGCTCAACTGCTCTTGGTAGACAAGTTGGGGATGGATGGTGGATGGGTGGGTGG